TGTACAATTTATATATCTAGTCAAAAGGCGACGTATTGTTCGTGGAAAACGACCTGGTCTGAACAGCAGACTACAGTACGAACAATCCACAGAAGACGCATCTGATACAGGAAGTATTTTTAGAGATTCCGACTATCCAGCATTCCCACAAACTTCGAAATCGACCTCTAGATACAGTCCTAACCCATTCACGGATGCCAGCTCACATTAACCAGTTTCCACCAGTCAGCAATCTCCACCCAACCAGTGCACATTTCCCCTCCTCTCCCTATACCCCTCCAGATCGCGGCGACCCGCGTGACGGGGCCTGTCTCCCGTCCCGGCTGCCGCTCCTGTCCGCGATGCTCCGTCTGTGGCGTGTCGGCGCACCCGGGGGAGGGGGAGGTGCCCCCCTCTGTCGGTGCAGACGCGGCCACGCCCTCCCTCATGCTGTCACGCGTGGGCCGTGACCGCGTGCTGACTCGGCCTCGACGGACAGATGACAGATGGATGTCTGCCGGTCACGTGCGCATGTGACAGCTGACAGTGTGACTGGTCGGCTGGTGTGGCTGTCACGCGCTGTGGTGGAAGTGCGCGGTGATGTGGGAAGTTTCGTGGGCGGGTCACGGACCGCCCGACGGAGCCAGATCTGTCCCGGGGGCGCTCGAAGTGGGGTATGGAGCGGAGTGGTCCTTCCGGTAACTGGAAAAGGACAGAGAGTGTTGAAGGAACCGCTTATGGTCGCCCGGAGAAGAGTGTTTTCACCTGTGGAGATCGTTAGCCATATGGAAGCCGTTGTTTTTGTGTGTGTGTGCTTTGGCGCGGTTCAGACAGCCTTCTGTCTGTGACGCTGCACAAGTTTTTGGAAAGGACCGTGTGCCTTGTCGGCTGCTTTCTGTGCTTTTGTCCTAATAGTTTTGCTGAAAATGTGATGAATGATAGACATAATCGTTAACGTCAGGAAGGATGCACGTAGGATCTGAACCTATAGGTCGACAATTGAACATTTCGTTCGAACTTCGCGTGAAACATGTAACGTCACGCGATATACGCGATAAGAGTGTATTGTGCACTAGGAAACAGGCTCATCATTCTGCGAGTGATAAATTGCTAGTCATTAGAAAGGGAGCATAAAATGCTCCATCTCGAACACGAGGGTGTTTTTAAAGATACGAAACAGGTAAGACTGCTGGCTAAAAGAAGTAATCAAATTCAACGTAAAATCCCGCCGTATATCACGCACAAGTGAAAAGGTGTAGCAATTGTGACCATGTAAATGAGTTCTTCCCTGATTTTCCGCCATGTTTGATACGATGCTGCCATAGCAGCGCTCCGCACTATTTCAGTCCATTTCTAACGACGATGAATGTACCCCGCGGCTTATTTAGGACAAGTTTGTGAGGTGTAGTGCAACACTGTTTGACGGTATTTCATGGGCAAACACTGCACGAAGCTTGATCAACATTTGGTTAGCTTTCAGCTTAGCAAACCACGAAAACACCGCGGTATTTCGCCACCCGGGCATTCGCTCAAAAGGTCTTCGAAAACTGCAACTTCACTGCCAAGTTTCCTTGGTCGCCACAAGAAATATTTAAACTAAAATAAAAAGAGTTCGATGTCAACCATTTTGCTGCGCGCTGGCTGTCCCGTTCTGGGCTCCGTATTCTGCTCTTTCACATATTCACTATACCGTCGCAGCAATCAGTCGCGACATCGATTCGGTCGCTCGTGTGGCCTGCAACATGCATGACCGGGGTTTTGCAGCCAGTGCACAAGGCCAGACCTTTGCAATGATTTCCGTGTTGAGGAAAAGAAAAGAATGCCGGTTTTAAACACGCATACTTGATTCGATCCCCATTACGCGTGGACGGTGGAGCTTTGAGTCTGACAGTCTGTATATCTGACTGCCGATGGGGCAGGGGTGATGCGCACGGTTAAATGACAACTGAGCAACTATGGGTCTCTAAAACACATGCTGAAGCTGCAAAACTTCTGAAGCCCACCGACAGCTAGTCCAGTACCGTCATGTCTGTGCTGTACCGGCAATGGCACTCAGCTATGCCGTATGTACCATATGCTGACAGATTGAGTCGTGTTTTACTGTGTCTGTGTTCGAGTGCGTTTATGCGTGTGCACGTTTCGTGTGTCCATGTGCGTTGCAATGTTTGCTGTTTGCGTCAGTGGTGAGAAGGACCACGACGGGCGCTACGTGTCGTCAGAGAGCTATTTCATCCCGGCTCCCCGCGCGTCTTCTTATTCATGGTTTCTCTCCCATCATGTAGCCATGTGCAGCATTGTTGTTTGAAAATAATATAAATACATAAACACGTCACTTGCATATCATCACAATTGTGGAGAGAGGTGGTTGATCAATTCCAGGCTCGTCCCAACTGACTGCCAACAACCAACAGTTTGGCGCTGCGGTACGAATCGAGATCGAACAGTGCCCCGCCCGCGGCGATCGGTCATAAACAGTGAATCACTTGGCAGCAGAGGTGATGACGTCACAAACATTGACTGGCACTCGGCCATGGACTGTCAGTCACAGCCGGCGATGGGGGAGTCTGGCGTGACAGGTCACTTCCGTGGTAGAGATGGGTCTATTTTGAGGTCGACTTTTGGAACAATCAATCGCTCTGCCACGATTTTAGAGCGATGTTATCCGAACCGAACACATACGACCCTATAGTCTGATCACAAAATACTAAACGAGTCACTTATCGCTATATGTATTCTAAACACGACTGTCTAAATTGGACTCACAGCTATCTGAATAAAGGCGAAACCCTTAGCCCAGTCCTATTATATATAATCACTGATCAGTGATAGTTCTATCCTAGGCCCGGACCGTTCAAGTCTAGCCACCAACCGTCCCATCTGTCCTCCTCCTAATATCGTCCTTCCGTTAACCACTGTCTTGCACAACCTTCAACCTTGACCACCTCAGGCCCCAGTTCGCCGCCGATTCGCTCTAATTTCACCCTGCCCGCGCCACTGACAGCTCCGTTTCGCCCTGCCCAGGACCAAGGCTATAGGGACAGTAGGCGGAGCCCCAGAGCGGTGACACGTGTCACTGCTCCTCAAAGTCAGCGGTTACGGCCAGACACGGGGATTTAGACAAACGTTTCAATAACACAGATGACGTCACGATAACACATGACGTCACGACTGGCCCGGAGGCGCATCAGTGAGGTTTGTGAGCGGTGGATACATCTGAGACGGCCTAAGTTCTGACGTTAAACGCCATGGGTTAGGCAAAGCCTGTCAGGCAACCGCTGTGGTTTAGCGATAGATAGGATCGACAGCTTCATACACATCCGCTGAATCGGAGTAGGAGTGTCCATTTGAACTCCAGCGTTCAATAACTGACCATTTCTGGCAGACAAAGCAAACTTGAAGAGTTTGCTCGGCAAACAGTTTCATTGAGAGCATCACAGACGACAGAGCAATTGATAACATTGGAAAAGATCCGGCGGGCGTGTGCCTATCAATGGTTGATTGACAGCTTGATAAAGCCAACCACAGCCCACAGGCCAAAACAAATAATGTTGCACATAAAACATGGTTTGGGCTATTTTGCCTAGCTCTAGGAAAATTCCGTTACGTCCATTCATAAATCCAAGGATGCTCAGAATTCAGATGATCCCTAGGCAATGGAAAATATCAAATAATGTCAACTACTGAAAATCAACGGGGCCATCTGTTGGCAACATTTGAAAATACTCCAAAGTTTCAACTAATGCCATAAAAAATAGAGCTTCCAAACAATTTTCGAGCAGACGACAGAGTTAAAAACAGCACAAAACTCCCCGTCTATTTTCCTATATACCGGCAGCTGGGCGGTGGTGAAGGCTGGCTGGCGGCGGTGAGGGCGGTCGGAGTTCGGCCAAAACAGGCGTCTGGCGCCCCCCCCCCCCCCGGTCATGCCCCGGCGTTCCAGTGCGGCCAGCAGGACTATGTTTATGCTGGCCTTTGGCCAGACAGCGCGCTCCAGCGGGCAGCGGGCCACGGCGAGCCGGCAGGTATTACCGGTACCAGCCGGACGCCACTCCCACTGCAGGGACATTCCCACCGGACGGCCACTACCACCGGACGGTAACAACACACTCCCACCGGACGTTAAACACAATGCCACCAGATTGCAAAACACTCTCCCCGGACGGTAAAACGCACCGGATGGGAGGCCACGCCCACCGAACGGTCACAAACGAGAGGCCACTCACCGGTTGACAGGATGGCCAAAATACCCCGACGGATGGTCCCAATATCAGATCCTCTCATCCAACGGTACCACACATTCAGGCCAACACTCCCAACGGCCAGTGTCCTGATCCAGACCAGCCTACTCCATTACTTCAATCAGGCATTACTTTCCTGGGCCAGCCGACCAATGCTGGGGAATAACCTGCTTCACTAAGAGCACCGGCGACTTGATGACTTATTCGTAAGCTGAGGCAGCACCTCTAAGGGTATAGAGCCAAACTTGTGTGCGCAGAGATAAAACTTCAAGTCGTAAGGAGGCTCCCTGGGTAATATGGGACCAGGAAGCTTATTGGATCATCCGACTTCAATTCGACGCACGTACGGGGCATCTGGGGTCTCCCCGCGGTGTTAATATGCCGTGCCCACTTTGCAGGGCATGGCAGGGCCCTCAGGACGCTGCGTCTCAAGCCACCAGCGACATAGCTTCGTCAGATCGCATTAAAGCTAGTAATTTATAGAATGAGGCCCAACATTTCTAGGCTTTGCTACAGCACATTAGTTTTACTGACAGACATAATTGATCGTTGTTGTGCACGGCTGGATGCCTGGAAGCCAAGGAACTCCACAGAAACTGACAACTGTATCACCCCTCGCGAAATCACCACTGAATCTCAGAATGTCCATCACTGCCGGCCACCGAAAACGACCAATCTACAGGACTGTATCCGTCGTACAGAGGGTGGCTGTTCCGGCCCTCAGGCCACCTCTCCCGAACGGCCACCGTACAGTGCCCTCGCACACGGATGAAGTCACGCACGTCTACCGACTACAGGGGCAGATATCAGAATTGGACTGACCTCGCACTGTTCCGATGAAAGGTGTCGTGGGCACTGGGCAGGCGGTCCGAAGCCGGCGCAGCCATCTGACGCCACGTGCGGCGTCCATCGGTTCCGATGTCTGAAAAGAACATTTGTTGCTGTCTTCGATTTTCGATGGCGGCATGGCATCACGTTAGGTGAGCCGACCCATGTCCACCTTTCACAGTTCAGTTAAACGGAAAGTAAGCGAACACAAACCAGAAAAAAGTGGCGCCCACAAGTGCAACGCGCGAATTCTGCAATTCACCAAACTCTGAACGTTCACACTATATAACCACACGTCACCTTCGACCAAAACACAAAATCACCCGCACAGAAACTATCTCGAGGCGACTTACCGCTGGTATCAGGGACTGTGGCGCCGCTCCTGTAGCCGCGGGATGGTCACACCGCTTGCAGGCCTGACCTCTGGCGCAGAGGCGGCGTCAGGTAGTCATCCGATGGAGGCAGCACTCGAGCAGGGGCGAGTCCAGGAAGGAAGAGGAGACGGTAGTGCAAAACATCGGATATAGGTTGGTTTCGAGCCGACCGACCGGGCATGTTTCATTGTCAGATATTAACTTGTCAAACCAGCCTCTCGTTCGTAGTCTGCCTTGAGTGCATCGTGTGGTGTGGACCTATTCGTAAAGCAAAGAGCGTTCTAGCTATAAGTCATAACGTTCAATCAGTTTACACAAGGTATCGACTATTTCTGGGTATGGCTGGGTAGAGGGTAGGTACCGGGTAACCGTCTGTTTATCCGTCCGGAACGCCGTTGCCAAGCGCCGATGCTCTCTCCGGCTCACTGCCAATTCCCGGCAAAAAGATGATGGAAGGTTCGAGAGCGCTCGGAATAGCCGGGAAAATGAAATACTCACGGCAAATGCCAGTGAAGCCTGGACGAGATCGAAGCCGGTTTGTGTCGAACGAGACTGGAACAAGGCCCACGGGGCTGGGCCAATGTTCGGACACAGTGGGAACTTCACGCTATTGCCAATCGAGGGGTTTCGCTTAGTGTATTGCAGTCGGGGCACAAAACAAGCAAAATTGAATTGAGAAAATAAGCGAGGCATCACAAATATCGAACTACCACTCACATTCAACAATGCAACGGTAACGTTTGTGGCTATTGACGTCTGTCACGTAAATTTACAGATCAACATCCGGCAAAAAAAAAAATGACTGAATAGGCCGACATTTGTAAAACAATAACATAAATAAAACAGTTGAGTTAAGGTCGCGGTGCTGGCAAGACTGCAAATGAAACAAAGTTTCAAACTTCACGCATCGGACACATAGAGTTATACAAAATGCATTACGAATGTAACGATATTAGCCAATGACGAATATAACAACACAATAGATGTACGCTTTAAAGATCGATAAAACGCAGCACAAATAACACCGAGGTATATCGCAAAATAGCACGTGATGCAAACATATAACACAGTACAGCACACACAACCGCAATAACAACACAGCACCCCAGTAAAACAAATCGGTCTATAACTCACGTCACCCCTGACCGTGTCATTTTCGGCCGCCAAGTCCCGGCAGGTAATGTAAGACACGCCGTTAGCTGGACGGAGCCGCTCGTCATAGGCGACGGGACCGGAGCGGCAATTTCGCGCCGTGAGGGGACGGCAGTGGTGGCGATTTATCAGAGTGTGCGGGTGACGAACGCGGCGGTCGGTCGAACGAATATTAGAGTGGACCAGGATACACGATACAGTAGGGGAGGCAAAATAGACATAAGTGGTTGCCACGACGTTCAGTTCTAACCATTCCGATGTTTTTGTGTGTCTTATAGTGGTTGTCGTAGTATGACTGTAGACACTGCATTGGCTGGAAATGCACAAAATCATAATAAACAAAAAAGGCATTTATACGGTAAAAAAGAAAGCGTATGAAAGTAGAGCTAAACTTTGAAGAAGCAGAACAACAACAACTTCGCCAACAGACTTAAGACTTCAGAGAGAAGAAAGCTACCATTCAACCTCCCCCAGCGCGGTTTATTAAAGCGTGCCGCGCGATACGCTCGTCTCCCGGACTCGGCATCCGCATTGGCAGGCCTCTGCGGGGACTGAACAGAGCCGCTCTGTCGCAGGGAGCAGAGAGCTCACTCACACACACAGACAACAGTGGAGTGTGGGGAGGCAGGCAGCTCACAAACAAACGGTGTGTTTTAGGCGACTCACGCGTCACGGATGTAGCGAGAGCGGGCGTGTTTTGCTTGAGCTTTGAGAGCTTAATTGACGGTTATGTTAGCGAGCTGACTCAGGAGTCAGATTCTTCATTACGGAGCGAGCGAAGCGAGCGTAGTCTTTCCTTAGATTAACAGAAATTTCTGAGTATGAGCGGCCGGCCGGCCGGCCGGCCGGCCGGCCGGCCGGCCGTGCGGACGCTTTTGCGAGGCTTATATCTCAGCAACCACTTGACCGATTTACACGCGGTAAATTTTGTAGGGTAGCTTCATTCCTTCTACCAAGTATTGGACTATTCCCGATGCATGTGGATGACCCCTTATGCACGTGCCACGTGCAAAACGAAGAGGTGTCAGTTTTGTAATTGTTGCAATATCTCGGTAACTACTTGGCCGATTGCGCTGAAAGTTGGCATGTAGATAGGCACCCACTAGGCACTGCATATCCATGTGCCAGAGTTGGGGTGCTGCTGCACGTGCGCACGTGCAGGGGTCGTTTCCAGATCTCGAGAACGGCTGGACCGATGGCGCTCAAATTTGGTACACGATTAGGGACCAGTTAGTAGGGTGCCGTGCACAAGTCAGTTGGGACCCATTTTGCACGTGCGCACGTGCAGGGTGCCACTTCCAGATCTCGAGAACGGCTGGGCCGATTGTGCTCAAATTTGGCACATCGCTAGAAACCGGTCAGTAGGGTGCCGTGCACAAGTCAGTTGGAGGTACCCCCTCGAAATTTCGCACGTGCAAGACTCACCCCCTCGCTCGCTCCGTTAGTCGCCCCAAAAGGCGTTATACTGGTGAGTATTTCAGTTTTAAGAGTGCGATACATTTGGGTCACAAGCGAGGCTGTAAGCATTTGTGGCAGTTTGGAGCACGGAGCCATCGTGTGCCTGAAATCACTAACGAGAAAAAAATATGACCTAGCATCACAAAAACGGTATAACCAATTCTCTGATAACACAGCGATCTCAATACGTAACGGGTGTCAAGTTCAAAATGGGACAAACGCAAAATTAAGGTAGACACTGTGTATTATAAGATATTTTAACGAAACCTTCACCACATACACCTTGTTCTGTCGCCAGTCCACTGGTACTAGTGAATCGGAACCAGGGGTCCATGCCTGTCTGCCAGACGCACGTGCTCTCCCGCTATCTTCATCATCGATCGCGGCACCTCCGGGACAATTTTCTTGATGCTGCTCAGGATTCTGGCACGCAGCTGCTGATCGGATGACGCTGTCCAGCCAACGCGGTAGACTTCTTGTTTAAGTATGCCCAAGAAGTCCTCAATTGGTCCCAGCTGCGGGACATTCGGCGGGTTTTCCTCGCGGATTAAATATCAGGTATGCCAGCTTCCTTCAGAAACTGGCACGTGGCACGTGCATAATGAGCTGAAGCCAAGTCTAGCCAAAATGCCTATCCACCCTTTCGGTAGCTGGCCCCGATGAACGGTTTGAGGTTGCTGTTCAGGCACTTTGTGATGTAGACATGGGCGCTAACATTTGTTGAACTGGGGCCAATCGTTGGTTTTGGTACTCCCTTGAGTGATATGGCTATCCACACAAGAAGCGTACGTGGGAACTTCCTTATCGGGCGGTACGTCACATTCGAAGGTGTGTCTCCACCAGGCCCAGCGTAAAAACCACGGTTTTGTGGCATTTCTGAGCCAGTGTAGGTGAAGTAGCTTTCATCGTCCATGATGACATCTTGCTCTCGAGTGGCACTCAGTTTTCCCCGGCTAAGGGGTCGCAGGCGGCCCTTTTGAGATTGTTCTCGCTGAGCAGATACCGGAGGAGCTTTCTGGCGCATCCTATATCTTACCCTTTCCTCTCTGAGAATTTGTCTCACTCTGTCATGCGTTATGCCAAAGCTGCGGCCTAAGAGACGAAGTGAGACGCCGACTTTGCCGTCTGCCATGCGAACAAGGCCTTGGCGCCTCTTTGCTGACATTTTGGGAGCAGGCCTGCCATTCTGAGCTCGTCGTATGTGTCCTTTGTCTAGGAATGTATTGATAACGCGATATATCAGTTGATCGTGGAATACCAAGCGACTTAACGTGGCGGAAAACCTGAGCCTTAGTCAAGTTCGAGTTTTGTCAACTACTCTCGCGACAATGTCTCTTGCGGCTTGCTTGCTCAAAGGCTCCATGACGACTGACCTCAATACGTAGCCACAATATTTTAACATCATGCTCGCACAATTCACGTATGGACATTCTGTCCAAATTTCAGGTGAATATCTAAAGGGAGGTTGAAAATAGAGCGATTTCAATTTTGTCTCATTTTGGACTTGACACCCGTTAATAACGCAATAAATGATGCACGAGAGATCAAAGAATCATGGACGGATCATCATGAATAGATTACGAGCACGCGAGGATTCAAGGGCTCTTAGCACGCAATCCATAATAGAGACAAGCGGTCCTAGCTATGTGCATTACTGATAGCAAGCAGCGTGTGGAAATAAATCCTATACCACTCTAGCTGAGATCATGGACGGCTGACAAGTACCAATATCACAGTGCATTGGACAATATCACAGTGTGTGCGAGATGTGCGTTAAAGTGGACATAACCCCAGACTCGAATATTTAATGTGTTCCCGTGCTGTCTAAGATATCGACCACAGATATTCGCACAGAGCGTGTTCTGGGAGAGGCTGTGACGAGTTCAGCATAGAATGACTAGCCGCTGACGCCGTCAACAGGCGGCCAAGCGTTACCGATGCCACCGCGAATCGGTTAATGAGACCTAAACTTGTTGATCCAGTTTCCAAATTCCCGGAGGCTAGTCGAGCTGCCGCAGCTCAGAGCTCGCACCTCAGAACTCGTAGCTCAGTGCTCGTAGCTCATAGCTCACAGCTCATCTCCCCAGCGTCGGCGACGCTCTAGCTCCCTTCGGAGTCGCTCCAGTTCCTGCAAACGCCCAACAGTGGACCTGCGTCAGCTGATGTTGCCATGGTTACACAATCCGCCAGTGGACCTGCATTAGTTGATGTAGCTTGTTATGGTTACACAAGCCACACGCAGCGCTCGCAGACTATAAGTGCTAGCGGAAAGAAAAGGCTAGACACGACCACGAAATGAAATAAGTCGCACACATGCTCCACTTAAGCAAACCTATGTAAGAAGGGCTTATACACACTCGAGACGTGTAATAAATAGGCCTAACTTATCAAGGAAATTACTACCCTGCAATGTTAAGCCATAACATCACGTGAAATGCAAATTACGGTCACTTTGATACGGTTAATTAGCCCTACATATTGCAACAAGGGGTCTTGTAAGCAGCGACCATGCCAGCCGCACCTGACAAATAATTAATCGTCTCCGTACTGAATAACACTACACTGGGTGACGGCACAGTCACCAGACTCGACAGACGCCACATGGGCGGTCTCAGGAGAGGCACAGAACTGTCAGTCGACTGGGCCTGACTTATTAATTAGCCATGGCCGTGTACGGACAGCTGCGGTACGCCACAGGCCAATGCTGGCAGTGACAGTCTATACTAGCACCGTGAACAGGTAACAACAGGTAATAAGCAATATGACAAGCAGACAAATCAGCCACAGTTTTCACTAGCAGTCCTCGTCCCTAGATTGTGATGACATGTGACAAAGACAAATCCAGACGCAAGGGGGAATGCTAGGCGCTATGGGTGAAAATGAGATCCATCGTCACCAAGGGTCGCGCAGCAGCAAAGTACCGTATTTCGTGACAAATCACGTTGCATGCTGACGCTCCTGAGCCAGGATTAGCCATAAGACAAACTCCTCGCCCTCCGAGAACCACAAGAAAGTTGGCATGCATCACATGTGGCGTCTTGGGACTGAAAACCATGATTTCAAACGGGAACAGGATGCCTGTGACGCAAAACCTCCCTCCCACAGGCGGTTGTAAGTCATCTGATTCCGTATTCCCGGACGTCTCAGGACTTTGTGAAATATTGAGCAGTATCGGCGGGCGGGAGGGAAATCATTTGACGATGCAAGACAATATATTTATATTACGTTTTTTATCTTTGATGGACATCGGAACATGACGTGATGGATGCAAATTTACCCTGGATGACATTAACACATAGGTAAGTGCATAGTATTACGAAAACTCTGGACAATAACCAAACATAATTACCGGCTGGAGACATTCATCGATGGTCATGGAGCAGTGGTACTGAACGATGGACATATTCAATACGCAGGGTACAAGAAAGCGCCACTGCCTCCACCCCCCGCCCCCCCCCCCCCAACAAAACACCTCCTCCAATGGGAGCGTCATTACCCCTTCCTTCCGGCTGAGTGCAGTGCCCCTGGCCCTCCTAGGAGCCAATCGCGCCCCCCCCCCCCCCGCCCCGGCCTGCCCAACCACCCACTGTCAGCGCCCACTGACCCTCCTGTGGGCCCCACCGTCCCTCCTACCCTACCTGATCCTTCTGTGACCGCAGCTGGTCGATCTCGGGCTCTCGGTAGTTCATGTCCTTAGCTGGATCGTCCGGCAGGGCTCCCGCACCCTGACTGTCCTGTCGGTAAAGAAGAGCGGCAGTGACAGAATATGTAGAAACCAGCGCCAAAACACTGAGTGAGTCTGTTTGAAGGTAGGTGATGAAAGAGCCTGCGATGCTTACGCCTTGCAGTGATTACTTATTCACGCTAATGTGCATAGTGTAGTGTGCACAATGCTTTGTGGTACGAAACAATTTCTTGACTGTTTCCTGAATTCCAGCATATACAAACTTCAAACAGACCGTCACAATTATAACGTTCTGCAAACACATGTCCAAGTTTTAACTGTGATATCACGGCAACACCGCATGCCGGACTGGGTAGCTTTATGCCTTATGCACATAAATTGGATGTCAGGTGCCTGTTTACATGAGCAACATAATAACGTTCTTAATCACGTTCTTCGAATTGAACCGAGAAATGACGGAAGTGGATCCGATTGAAATGACATTATGACAATAGCCACAAGTATGATATATTGGTTCTTGCGCTACGATAGTGATTAACCCTCGCCCCGTTGGGGGGACCATTTTGCCCCCCCCCCCCCTGTGGTTTTTCCTGAATAGCAAGAAAACGGCGGCGCGCAGCGCCGCCAAATTTTCAGTACCTTCCCGGGCATCAATTTGACACCTTCACACCAAATTTCAAGTCTTAGGTCACCTTAGGTCAGGAGCTATTGAGGTCAAACTGAGGTCATGTTCGAGCAAAAATGAGCAAAAAAACATGCAATCTTAAAACGCTCACCAAATCTACAGTTACCAAGCAATTTCAAAGTTCTTTATATGGTCTAGTAGACAAAAAGCGGCGCTACAAAACTGCTATCTCGGATTTTCAAAATTTTTGGTTTTTGGCCAAAAAAAAATCAAAAAATTGATTTTTTTAGAAAAACTTTAAAAATCCAATTTTTTCCGAATTTCGAAAAAACCGGAATATATGTGATAGTCCCGGCGCTCTTCTTCAGGTCTGTATATACATACCGAATTTCAGATTGATATCTCGTTTTTTGGCCAAGTTATAGCGAAACAACTGTTCAAAAATGATGACGTCAAATTTTTGAACTCAATTTCTAGCGATTCTAGACCACGTACGGCAAAACAAAGACCACCATTGAACTCCCCGTGACGAGCTGCATCGATTCGATACCCATTTTATGCAAAAATATTAACTTTCAAATTTGACCTAATTTGACCTGACCTTGACCTGACCTTGACCAAAACGTGACCTAAGCTGGCCCCAAAGGCTGCCTGACCCACATAATCGCATTTGTCATGTAAAATGGACCATAAAACATGTATCACACGACACTTTCATGTTGTGACCCCCCCGTGACCTGACCTCTGTGACCTGACCTGGTATCAGTGACCTCAAATAGCAAAATATGTGTTTGAAGAACATTTCCCCATCGATGATTTTCAATGAAATGCATTTTACTCGATTTTACAACGCATTTCTTGAAATGCCTGTAAACGGTGAAAATTGGACCTTTGACCTGACCTGTGACGTCATCGGTTTGACCTAGGTCAATAAAATTGGGTCACAAGGTAGTTCCGCGTTGGGGCTATCCAACGCCGTTTACCGCTTGTCGCTATGTTGCGTGGTTCTCGAGATTTTAGGGGGGGGGGGCCAAAATGCCCCCCCCCCCCAACCGGGCGCGTTGCTCGGCAGAGCCCAACGGGGCGCGGGTTATTAAGTCGGCTGAGGCCCAGTCCTCGAATAGCAGCAGCAAGAACACAAAAGTCACTTTCTACAAACAGCCCAGCCTTTAATTCTAACTGCACATGAATTTATTTTCCTGGAAGCCGGATGATTATCATCTGAATTTCTTTGGTGTCGTCGTTATTCTACGACATATTTCATCAACGGTATAGTGCTCCCCATACGAGTATGTTAGCTCCCCCATAGGTTAGCTCCTAAGCCTCTTTCTTCAAGTATTCAGGCCTCTAGCTGTGACTGTGTAGATGCTCAACACACGGAAAGCCAGATGATTATTTATCCTACGAACTTCTTCAGTGCCGTTAGCATACGCTCGAACTCATAATCGGTAATCGATATACTGAAGAAAAACAAACTTCAGAGTTCAGAGCCGAACAAAGAGCAGCCTCCGAATTTAATTTACCGGTCACACATACGACTTGTGTCCTGATATCCGGCTACGCAAAATAAATCCGGGTTGAATAAAGACGCTCATGTAAGATGGTCCACGAGGGATAAATAGCCGAGCGTCGTACGTTAGGAAGTTATACCACTTTCGGTATATAGACGATACTCTGCTCAACATTTGCATTAGCTACGGTATCGTTGATTCTTTTAGCTGCTGGACTGGATAGCAACCGCATGACCCCACTAGCGCATCTCTAAAAGCAAACCTGATTGAGCTGGGCACCAACCTACCTGCGGGTATTGAGCCGTGAACGTATTTTTGGCCGTGTTGTAGCTGGGATCGGCTCCGACTCCAAGAATTCCGGCCAGTGAGTCGGTGCCGGCAGGCACTAGCAGAGGCTTGTTATAGTCCTGTGCCAGGTACCCGCTGGTGGAGAGAGAGGGGGAGGGAGGAGAGAGAGTGAGAGAGAGAGAGAGAGAGAGAGAGAGAGAGAGAGAGAGAGAGAGAGAGAGAGAGAGAGAGAGAGAGAGAGAGAGAGAGAGAGAGAGAGAGAGAGAGAGAGAGAGAGAGAGAGAGAGAGAGAGAGAGAGAGAGAGAGAGAGAGAGAGAGAGAGAGAGAGAGAGAGAGAGAGAGAGTCAGCGCACAGCGAACACACGATATATCGTCGAAACTTTAGCCTGTTTCCCAAAGTTCAGTAGTTTTATCCATTCCATTTTCCCCGGCAAACTCAAATTACGTGGGCATTACAGTTCTTCGAATTCGTCGTAGCACCACGAGCAGGAACAAATACGTTCGGAGTGAGAACTTATATAGGAAGGTGACCAGTACAATAATACACGTCTACACGAGTGATTAATTATCAACCAAATAAGCTCCCAAGACGACAAACCATTACAGTCTGCTCCCTGGTTTCTGTTTGGTAACCAGAAATCAAACTGTCACTTCCCTATATTGCGACCTCCCATTAACCCTCCCAACGCAGTCCTACCTGGCCGGACCGCCGAACGCCATCTGGTTCATCATGTCCTTTGCCTTCTTCACCAGCGCCGAGTCCTGAGACGAGAAGAAGTAGAGCGAGGCTCCGTTGACGTGTGCCAAGTAGCGCAGCGAGCGACAAATGAGCTTCTTTTTCTCAGGGTCCCAGTCCTGAAATACGTCGTAGTGACCTCCGACCAGCACCAGCGGTACAGGGAACGGCTTCATGTGCGCCGCGTCCTGTAGGACAGGCGGGGGATGTTACTGTGGAACAGACGAGTGGTGGTAGATGATAAATAACAGGGAGGGCAATGACTCAGTTGAACAGATTAGCGTTAAATCTCACTTTTAGCGCTCAGTCACCAGTTCTGCGGTCCGCCGAGTATTCCGATGTGATCTCACGGTGATCTGTAGTTCACCGGGTGATCCTACGGCACGAATAGCTCAGAAGCATTTAGTTCGCCGCTCCCTTAGCTCCATCATTAGCTCATCTGATGATGGGACGGCTTACGAAGCTCAATGACCTTTATATCAATTATTAGCTCACTGGGTGATCAGATAACGTACAAAGTCCTGTGATCCCTACCTAGCTCACCCGACGCTCGTCAATAGCTCACCCGTGTATGATCTGTCAGCACGCATAGCTGTGATTTTTTAGCTCACATTAGTTCACCAGATGATCGGACGGCACGTACAGCTCAGCGACTCTTAGCTCACATCTTATCTCACCGGATGGTCGGAGAACACAGATAGCTCAGTGACTCATTACTCTTGGCTCACATTAGCTCACTGGATAGTCAGACGGCACGCGAAGCTCAGTGACTCTTAACTCACAATAGCTCACCGGATAGCATAGCTCTGACGGCACGCGGAACTCCGTGACTCTTAGCTCACATCTTAGCTCCTATTAGCTCACCGGATGGTCGGACGGCACGCGTAGCTCTGTGGCCTTTTTCAGTCGTTCCTCGAGCTGCATCTGCCGACCGATGCCGCTGGATATCTCGGAATCTAGTACATCGCGCAGTGTCTGAGGAATATCAGAACAGACAGGACAAGTCAGGTGAGGTAAGCAATCAATGCTTCTCTCCTTGTCCTTTACGGTTTATGAACAGGGATCGGTTAGACGTGATAGCAAGAACCATGACTCACGCCATGGACAATTGTGTGATTCAGTGGGTAATGGCAAACTGAGTGATCCTGAGTGACATCTGAGTGACATCGCGCTCGTCTCGGTGCTGCTTGTATGCCGCATACTGCAGCCTGGCTGCAAGCACCTCCAATCCCCAGCCTGGGACTGTACATTGATGACGAGACCATTCGTATAGCGGTAGCCCTCCGACTAGGCCTGCCCATCTGTGAGCCCCACCAATGCAAGCTATGTGGATGCCCTGTGGACAGGCTGGGACACCACGGCCTATCATGCAAGAAGAGCGCCGGTCGCTTCCCACGGCACGCAGCCCTAAATGACGTCATTAAACGAGCACTGGCAAGCGCTGGCGTACCATCGGTCTTAGAACCTGTGGGGCTAGACAGAGGAGATGGAAGGCGCCCCGACGGACTGACAACGTTCCCCTTCAGTGCCGGTCGAAGCCTCACATGGGACGCCACATGCGTTGACACGTTTGCTGAGTCACACGTGGTGAAGTGTGCAGTGTGCAGTGGATCTCGGCGCAGCTGCAGCCGCCGCCGAGAACCTGAAGCGCATGCGCTACGCCAGTCTTGCAGACCGATACATCTTCACTCCAGTAGCAGTGGAGACTACCGGCGTAGTCGGAGAAGCAGGGTCAAAGCTGCTCCGGGATATCGGCGGTCGGATTTCTGCGGCGACTAAGGACCCCAGAGAAGTGTCCTGGCTTCTACAAAGAGTCTCGATAGCAATCATCCGGGGAAACTCCGCCGCTATCCTCGCCACAGCCCCTCCTGAAGCTGGTCCCCATCACGTTGGGTGTGTCGGAGGACGCGCGTCTGGCCCGGCAGAAGAGTCGGACTCAGCCGTAGACGCAGAAGTAGCTCCACCAGCTTCTTCATCAAAATCCAGCGTATTTGGCCAGCTCAGCGAGAATGGGAGAAAGCTAGCCCCAAGCGACTTCGAGGTTCCATGGGGCGAAATATTTGGTGCAAAACCAAAGCACTAACGGCATATGAGTGGTAGTGTCTAGTGTGTCATCGAAATGTACCCTGTGGTAATGTGAAATACAATCACAGCTCATTGTGATCCTGTGAAGTAACTGGCAACCAAGCAAATGGATTACCTTGCCTTTCAGCACGGCTTGCTCAATCAAGAAAAGCACATTGATGACTCGTGGACTAGGCAAAGGGCAGTGGCAAGCATCTGAGCCAGCATCGACCTATGAAGCGTGTTCACCAGCGCTGAACAAAACACCACCAAAGACCACATCTTAGTTCGTCAGCACATAGCTAGTTCAAAAATCGCTACCTTGATCATGGTCTCCAGGGTGGCCCACATGGTCTGCGGCTTGGTGAGGTCGACCACCAACAGGATGCTGAGGTTGGGCAGCCTCTCGGCCTTCAGCGGCGTCTCCAGCAGCGGCGTGTAGGTGGTGCCGCCGCCCAGCTCCCAGATGTGACACACGTCCTTCAGCTGGCAGAACACACACGGGGTGGGGCGTTCGGCTGATATGGTCGGTGAGTTTATGGCATAACCCGCGAGTTGCTGGGGGGGGGGGGCGTTAAACGCCCCCACTTTTTTCGCCGGGCCATAGCATAAAAACGGCGCGCCGCAGGCGCGCCAAATTTTGGGTACCTGTAGGGAATTGATTGAAGTTTATTGTGACAAAGTTTCAAAAAAATCCGTCGGAAAATTTTTGAGATATCGAGGTTTTAGTGACGTCATGATTTCTGAGTTTTCGACCAAAAACGGCATATGTTCAAAAAATTATATAAAATCACAAAATAGACATACAGACATGCCGTAAACGCCATTAGACTGCCAATACCTTGAATAATCAAATGGCTATCTTCGATTATTGATTATCGTTCCGCATTTTCCAAAATCTTGAACTGAACCTTGGCAATTTCCCGTGACTACTTCACGACCATGATACATGCATTTCTAAAGTTGAACTTTTTTAGCCAAACACGTACACATATGACAAAATGAATGTCACCATCGTGTTCTACGCTCCAAATTACCCATAAAACATGCGTCACAGGCTGCGAATATCAGTTTTGATTTTCGGGGATATGTGCCTACCCGGTTGACCTGACCTTGACCCTGACCTATGCTTGACTGACCCCTACATGGAGCTGACACTCTTGTAGACCTTATATGATGGATTGTGCACCGTTTTGACAGAGTTTATGACGAGAGGCGCCCATTGCGAAGTCCTGAAGTCCATGCTACTGAAAGCCCGATTTCAGGTGTTTGACCTGACCTTGACCCGACCTGTGACCTCAAAATTCAACTTTAAAGTACTCATCTGAAGGGTCTCGTCGCGTTCTTTCGTTTGCCGCCTCGTGCGTTTCGCTGCGCCTATTGGTTCTCGAGTTATCGGCTGGGGGCGTTTAACGCCCCCCCCCCCCTCCCCCCCCAGCAAACGGTGGGTGGCGAAATACCCCAGCAACTGCCGGGATAATGAGTCGGTGTTGGCGTCCTCGCCAGTGTTTGGCGCTTGTATATTATTGTTTTTATGCACTGATTTTCAATACATTTAAACGTCGCTTGCATATTATCGCTTTTTTAACATTTTCGATTAAAAAAATAAACTTTGTTGTTCATTGGGGTGATTTTCCGTTAGTGCACAGAACGATATTGTGATGCTGTGGACTGCCAACGTTAAAAATCCCGCAGCAATTGATACCGGCCATTCAAACACACAATATGATATTCAAAAGCACTGCGCTGTATCCTTACGTACCACGCTCTTTCCCGTTTTGCGGCCGTACGAGTATTCCAAGCCCAGCGTCTTCTTTGGTTCTTCATCCCGGTCCAGAAACTTGTGAATCAGTCGCGACTTTCCCTACGAAAAAAAAGAGAGCATGTCAGACAACACGTTACCTAAGTGCATTAGGTACCTATCTTGAAGAATCTTGTGCATTACCAACGACCATTGATCAATCAACAGAAATATAAGCAGGCGGATAATGTCACGCGGCAGGACAGGAGTAGGAACTGACACTCCTGCAGGACTGCAGCAAACATAACGTAGTATTGACAAACACCTAACAAAAGTCGGTAATTTTTTATCAAATGCATGCTTTTATTTTGAGCAGCATGACGAGCATGCAAGCAATTCACTATCTGCCTACCGTACCAGACCTAGCATGATGTGACTGTTACACTCACCACACCCACAGTCACAGTCCCTGACAATAGCCCAGAGAACACTGTTAGCCACTGTGCTCGGTCACTGACCGCCTGTTTTCCGCCGACAAACAGCAGCGTCGACTCCACGCTGTGACTCTCTGTCAGCTCCAGCCCACGCAAGATGCGCGCCTGGTTCATCTTCTCGGCTATCACCCAGATGTTGTCACTGCCGGGAACACGGGAAACGGGTGTGAATACAGTTGAAAACACCGCCCCTGGGACACCCCGGGGTCGCACGCAACGATAAATATAGCAGCCTCAATTACCGTGATTTGGTTTAAGAGTTATTTATCAATATGATAGGTTATGAAAAACGTTACCCAGATAAAACACTACTCACCCTTGAAATTCTTCCTCTGCTTCTTCTGTGAGCTTGTTATTTTCGGTATCTTCCGAATTCTTCCTACTCTTCAAGGCCATTTTATTTGCTCTGAAACAAATATCAACTAAATCATGAAAATGCATAAGTTGTAGTTGCACATCACAACTGTAGCTCGTTTCCGGTTCATAACAGCCCGGTAAACATTGGATAAAGTACGCTAAGCAGACCGGCCATTTCTTGCTGATCTAGCACGTCAAAAAATAATACTGAGGGACCCTCAGTGAGGGTGCACTCTCTCACGCTTATGTGACACCTGGCCATGTCTCTCCCCCTCATCTCCACTTGTCACCCCAAAAATCCAGCACCCCTCCCTCTCACCTGATCGCGGAGTCCGCGGTGCGCGCACCAACGGCCGACGGAGGCGGACGGGAGGTGGGCGGTCGGCTGAGTGGTGCTGTCGGCTTGTCCCCACCGCCCCTCAGGCTGGCTGTGCTGCCACGGACACTCGCAGGGGCGGATGGATCGCCCCTAAGACTAGCCGTGCTGCCGCGAACACTTCCAGGGACGGCTGGGTCACCACGTAAGCTGGCCGTGCTGCCGCGAACACTGCCAGGGGCGGCTGGGTCACCACGCAGGCTGGCTGTACTGCCACGAACGCTGGCAGACTCGGTCGCATCTCCATGCAGACTGGTTGTACTGTCCCTGATACTATCAGCAGCAGTCTGATCGCCCCTTATGCTGGTTGTACTGCCACGGATACTGGCTGGGGCGCCAGGATCCCCTCTCAGACTGACTTTGCTTCCACGCATACTGTGCGAGTCACCCGCAGCATGGGGATCCTCTCGTAGACTGGCCATGCTGCCAGAAATGCCAGGATCCGCAATGTCACCCACACTGGAACGAGTGCCACCTTGATTGCTTCGGAGACTGGCAATGCTGCCTCGGACACTGGCTCGCTGGATGCCGTCTGCAGGGTGGGTGGAGTCAGTGATGTCCTCACCATCACCAGAGGGTCTGCTCGGGTACTCAGGCTCCACCGGAGAGGCAGTCGGCTGGGGGATGTTTTCGTCTGAGCCAGGAACTTCTGTCATGTTCTGTTCATTCAGAATAGCCTCCTCCGTAAGAAGGTCGTCCATAGCTGGATCCGGTTCCGCAGGTGGCATTGGAGTTCCTCTAGTCATGTCCATGTTGAACGTAACAGTAAGTTACTGTAGATTTATACCTAAATGTGACTGAAAACACCAACAATACATGTCATTTATTTATAATCAGGGGTAGATAATTAGGACTTTTGGTAATTACCTCTTTTGCACCTTGTAAAACTTGACAAATTGGCAAAATAAGAACATGAAAGGAAAGAACACATACATTCTTCTAAGCTTAAAATTGAGATCACACATCAATCCTACTTGATACTTCTTACACTAAACGTTTAAAGTATCTGTTTTTTCTTAGGAGTGATATGACTGTTTGAACAATTTTCTGGGTTGATATATAACTTTTAACAATATTGAGCAATGAGCCATGCAGGAATTATAAGGCACAATTCAAATTCTCAATTCTGACACTTAAAGGGACGGACACGCCTAAGAGCTGGACTTTTTGATGACGTCTTCGGGTGACGTCATGTCGTGTGTGACGTTTCGTGAGCAGGTAAGGAAAAGTCACCACCGCTGGCGAACATTGGTGCGGTAAATGGCAAACACAAATGCTGCGCAAAAAAGACAAATATGTAACTTCAGTTCCAACAACATTCGTTCGGACGACAATGTCAAGGCGAATCAAGAAGTTCTTCATGCGATTGTTAGTTATCTGTCGTGCTATTTTAGTATGATTGTTATTAGCTGTTGATTTGTGAATTGTATTATCAAAATCAATGTTATTGAGCGCAGATTCAGTTTATTTTCAGATGTACCTAGGTACCCTTACACTTTACTGATCTCAAGCTGTTCAAACACCCTTGACAAAGTCGATTAAGATGAAACGTTGGGTATAATTTATACTGTGTTTTCTCTGCATTACCTATTAACATATTCATCATATATACAATATAAGGGCCACATGCTTATTACAGGGAGACATGTCAGACAGCCCAGTAGGATGAGGCTTCGTCAAGCGTCATTTTTAGCAAAGCTTTTCTTGCTTAAAATCCAGTCTGCAAAACATGGCAGGGCTTACACTTTGGCTTACACTTGACTCCCAGCTGTTGTGTCTTTGCTATGCGATGTTAAACATATAAGACATCTTACTATTCATGTATGTGCCATGACGACTCTTGTAATCTTTTCACAGCCAAGACGCTCCTAAGGTACTGGGAATGTGGGGGGTGCAGCAGCATCAGTGCAGCACCGATGGTCGGATGCGACGGCTACGATAAATGGTACCACTTCCGTTGTGCGGGACTGACAAAGGAGCCAGGTAAGCGCAAATGTTTTCTGTCTCAGTATTTTTGTTGCAGCTATAGTGATCAATGAAATATTTTCCGCACTGTTCAGCCAAACATGTATTTCAAACAATCTGCTTCCCAACCAAGGACGTCGCCACGGGGGGGGGGGGGAGGACGGAGGGGATCTCGTCCCCTCCACTTTTTAAAATTTTAACATTACGCCTATGGCGTTGCATGGAAAGAATCGACTTGAAATGGTCCTCGTCCCCTCCAAAATGGTCAACGTCCCCTCCAGTCGTCGCACCGTGGCGTCGCCCCTGTTCCCAACTACACAAATTTAGTCAAACAATGTGCCAATATGGAATTTTCAGGTTCAGTTGCATGAAATAGGAACAATGATAATTGGAGATTACGTATACCTGCAAGAGAGGAAAACAGAATACATTGTATTGCTTGTCCTTCACCGATACTGTCATTTTTGATTTTCCATTTCTAGAAACACCGACATGGCGATGCAGGTGGTACTGCCTGGTGAGGCCGCGGTCTCCGGAATCGCCTGCAGACGAAGTCACCTGGCGTCCATCTGCACATCACTTGCAGCAGTGAGGCCTGCTGACAGCGTCTGGCAGTGTCGGCAACGTGCCAGCCAGCTATCTGGAGTCCTGCTCACCGCAGGTCGCCGACAGGAGGGGCGACGCATCGTCTCCGAGGTCGCCTCAGCAGCAGTGAGACCCCACTGGCCGTCTTCTTAGGCTTCAACTAGATTGCGAACAACCTATGCTGAGACAACGCCCATGACGTGTGATCCGGTACCGCTACCGCACTGCGTGCCTGTGCCCGCCGTGAGCCGCTAGTGCATGGGTTCGACCATGAGAATATGTGTTTATGTTGCTTTTACTATTGTTTATACGTTGAAGTGACGAATTGTTTATTTTTCGCAAGCCTCCGCTGTCCGGTTGCCTGCAGCTCCATGCAACGCCAGCTGTACTGTTGTTTTAATGTTGTCTCTCCGCTCAGCTGTACTGTTGCCTCTCCGCTCATAACAACCTATGCTGAGACAACGCCCATGACGTGTGATCCGGTACCGCTACCGCACTGCGTGCCTGTGCCCGCCGTGAGCCGCTAGTGCATGGGTTCGACCATGAGAATATGTGTTTATGTTGCTTTTTATACTATTGTTTATACGTTGAAGTGACGAATTGTTTATTTTTCGCAAGCCTCCGCTGTCCGGTTGCCTGCAGCTCCATGCAACGCCAGCTGTACTGTTGTTTTAATGTTGTCTCTCCGCTCAGCTGTACTGTTGCCTCTCCGCTCATAACAACCTATGCTGAGACAACGCCCATGACGTGTGATCCGGTACCGCTACCGCACTGCGTGCCTGTGCCCGCCGTGAGCCGCTAGTGCATGGGTTCGACCATGAGAATATGTGTTTATGTTGCTTTTTATACTATTGTTTATACGTTGAAGTGACGAATTGTTTATTTTTCGCAAGCCTCCGCTGTCCGGTTGCCTGCAGCTCCATGCAACGCCAGCTGTACTGTTGTTTTAATGTTGTCTCTCCGCTCAGCTGTACTGTTGCCTCTCCGCTCATATATGACACCCTCTATATGAATGGCACTAATGATTGTCACACCCACTGTCCGTATTGTCCGTAGTGGTGTACGCCCATGTTAATACATTGTGCAGAATCCAGATTCTATTTAGGAGAGTTGAGCCAAGTCACCATAGGCTCGGGAAGAGAGCAACGTGGAGGCCCACTGCCCCTTCCCCGGCCCCCACTGGGGGCGCCAGCCACTCCAACTTTTGACTGGATGTCAAGAGCGTCGCCACGAGGGGAACGAGTCGCCGGCCAGCCAAGGTAGCCAACGGCGTGTGAAGGTTGCCTGACCTCGAGGAAACTGAGATGGCACCAACGGAGGTTTTGTTAAGTAGGCGACCAAAATTCGAGCGGCAGCAACCTGGGCACCTTCACAGATAGCAGTGCCGCGTATCAGGGCGCCTTCGACGTTGAGCCGGGCGCCGATCATCAGGACGCCGGGGGAATATGACCCAATATCCCCCGTAAATATGTGCCTCGGAAGGGAGACCCAACCATAAAACTGAAAGCTCGCCGTATTTTATCCACTATTTTTCGAGCAGGTCCATAGATTTCCGTGCTCAAAAGTGCGGGGATATTCCCCAGTGTTTGAGTTGGATGGGACTATAGTGGCGTTTACACCGACAGGAGATTCCCATTGCCGGCTGTGGGAAACTACTGTCGCCTGTCGGTGTAAACGCCATTCATATTTCCTGCGTCACCCCTGTGGGGACGCCCTTACTCCATGGTGCCGAGCTTATCAATTTGGATATCAATGGAATCAAAATCTCATCGATCGATGAAGAACTAAATTACCCCAACCCGGAGAGCGTCTTTGGAATCAAAGCAGTAGCACATGACGCAAGACTTCAGGCAAATAAATCCTTCTTGTCTGAAATAAAACATTTGTGTATTGATGAGCACGTTTTATAAGCAATGGTAGCAAGATTCTCCATGTATTGGGTCAAAGTGATAATTTAGTAGCAGATACTTACCGTCGCATTTCGTCTTTTTTTAATTAATAATTTATATTGTCAGAACTAGCAACATGTCTCTTCACTCAACAATAATTACAAAAGTGAAAAAGAAATGATAAATTGCTTATATTTTGGTGAAACTAAAAATTAATTCAGCACATATTTTTTTTACAGCGTTGAAGTCCAGCTCCAAAGGACAGCTGACGATCGTAGCCGAGCAGGCTGTTTGGTACTTCTTCACTACTTCTTAGAAGTACCCGTTAGTACCGATCATGTCTCACATAATAAGCTATTGGAACAAAAATATCCATGTTCTTCTAATTATTCTCCTTTCACACTTTAAATAAATACTTTTGAAATGCATTCACTAATTAATTTCACAAAAACAGCTTGAAATTTTACAACGTCAAAATACTTATTCCCATTTCCACCATGAAACCACCACTATATTACTTGCTTACAGAACCGTGCGCACAGTGCGCGCAGTTTTATCGTGACGTCAGAGGGTGCTTCCTCAGTGGCGCCCCCTGGCGGGGAACGCGTGCAAAAAGTCCAGCTCTTAGGCATGTCCAAAGGGACCCTCCCACCTTCAAAAAAGTTAATGAATTGGCATAAAAGTGATGTAGCGTGAATCACAAAGAGCGAAAATGAACATCTACCAAATTTTACCGGAAAATATTCACCCGTTTTCGAGATATAAGACTTTTATTTTTGTTTACTTTTTGGGAAATCCGCTGTTTCTATGACGTCACATAAAGGTTTTCTTTACGTCGGCATTTGGAAGCAATAGTTTGGTATCAAAGTGCGACAAATATTGCGCGAATGATGCGTTTATCTTATCAAGGTCAATATATGATGGCCAATAAAGGATTCCAGGACAATTCTTATGGCATTTCTTCGTATCGCAATTCTTCGTCTGCAAATCTTCGTCAGGGCATTTATTCGTACCTATCGCATTACTTTGTCTCGCACCAGGGTATATGAAAATCGGCTCGCATTTCTTCTTCAACGCAAATATATGCAAGAGTAAGCATTGAGGGACAAATAAATGCACCGACGAAGATTTGTAGACGAAGAAATGCGGACGAAAAATTGTGCTACGAAGAAATGTCATGCGAGGATTCGTTCGGGTACCATGACATTTATGTGATTTCAAAGTCAAGGTTCACAGCTGATCTGCTAAATCAAGCCAAGAATCCAAACTATCAAAAAACTATAAATATTTGTCTGTCACAGAGGTCTCAAGCAATATAAGGTTGACATATGTTGAATCAAAAATCTACTGTCACAACTCACATCTCCTGCCTTAGTTTATCATTGTTGTTTTAACTTGCTTTCAAGAGAAACAGAAGCCAGTATCTGATATCACTTCAGATGATTGTTTCAAGATCTGAGTTCAAATGGAAATAAAAGCAAGATCAAGATGAAACAGGGATTATTGCTGTTAAAGTATTTTGGCCATGATACAACAAGCACATAAATCATTAGCCAAATCAAATACTGGTTGGTTTGTCAAGATGTTTGTTGTCTGTCGTCTGTCGAGCTGCTATGAACACTGAAAGAGTGAGCTGCCCTCACTCTTACTTTAAAGAGAGTAGTTTAAGTTGAATGGTAGTGAGCTGTAATTAGACAAAGCAGCTATTCAGTGCTCACATCAAGCCAGGCTAGGAAATGGCATCAACTGTGGTGGGAGGAAGCAGGTTCGGCAGCCCTATGTTGTAAACTTCTGTTATGTCTTGTGTTTGATCAACTGATGTTTTCTGCTCTGTTTTGTGCAGTGATAGTAGCAGGTAACTGCATGCTTGTCAAATTATGTGAATAAACGAATTCATAACATTGCATTTTTCTCTCCATGCAAGGAACAAGTAAGATGTTGTAGAAAATGTAATAGAGGGCTGCATTGCTGATTTTGCACTTTATCAGAGCTTTATTTAGAATTGCTTTCCTGAAAGCTACACACAGGCCACAGTGCTGAAATTCACAATGTCATAGCTTTTGGCAGAAAAAAGAAAAGACTTACCGAGGTTAAATTGGCTGAAAGTATGGCAGAGCAGGTCTTGATGCGTATGCCCATCCGTGTGCTTGCCGAAGCCGAACTGACTGCAACACATTTAACTCTGACCCACCATGGTGGCTGGCATATCCAGAACTTTCACCACTCTAAACAAGACAACTTTCAGCCCTCAGCATTGTATTAAAACACTGTACAAAACACTCAAAATTTGTTTCAGTGCCATCCACGGACAACATCAGTCGCCATTCACCAGGCCAGTAAAAACAGAATAGATAATAGCTTCAAACCCATGTAGTCAGAGTTACTAGGTCTGCACCTCAAAACAAAATCCAGGTGACATTCACCACGCCAGTAAAAAACAGGTACTTAGGTAACGTAACAGCTTCAAATCTGGTAACATGTTGGTCGGACTTTACACTACCATATTTACATGGAATAATATGATACCAAACAATAGTGCAACCATTCTGGACAACAAAAGTGTATGATAAAATTAATTTAGAATACTCTGGCAGCATGATTTACGAGCACAGGCAGGTGTTACCTACCAGCCTTCTCAATGCTCGTAAAACCAACATTGTAGTTTTGATTTTACCTTACATGATAACACACTTGGCTGCAATGGCACATTTAATTTAATACTGTGAAAAGACCAGTTATAACCACTTCACAAGCACAATTGCACCTCATGCCGACATCCTTTTCCAAAGACAGTCAGCAGCGTCTTTCGTCAAAACTGGAAGATAAATCCCCTTTCAACTGTTAACATCAAAAATATTTCTTCATGGTGTGACTTTGATCTCCATATGGAAACCTTGCAGGAAAAGAATTAATGTCAATTGTCAGCTCTTCAAATTTCTTTGGACTTTAACTTGCAGTACCATATCCAGTTTGCTTTGATATTTTGTTTTTTATTCCATGTTGAAGTTGAACACCAAGCTCCAGATATAGCAGGCAGCTTGATCATCTTCGGCCTTGGTATAATATCAGTCCAAGTTCCAGTGGTGGGTATCTTCTAATATTCAAATTAAAATGAAAAGCAACATGCTTTCTCAGCGCCGACGACGGATTTCACGTTGATAAACAAGGGAGCTCAAGGTCAGCAAAACTCGGGTTCAAGGAATGGCGGGCGTTGAAATGACTGCTGACGTCATCAAAAAACCGCTAATGGTTAAGAGATAGGGACTAAGCTGGTCCCACCCTGCAAGTAAAGGGAAGAAATTTCTTGAACACCATAAAGCTGCGGGGGTTGCGACCAGGATAAATGGTGGTTTCTGAGCCTGGCCGCAAACTTGGCTATCTCAACTCAAAACTAATGTTAAGGTGGGATGGTCCCTTTAAAGGGACCCTCCCACCTTCAAAAAAGTTAATGAATTGGCATGAAAGTGATGTCGCTCGGTTCAGAAAGAGCAAAAACGCATATCTACCAAATTTCATCGAAAAATATTCACCGGTTTTCAAGATATTAGACTTATACTTTTGTTTACTTTTTGGGATCTCCGCTGTTCCTAGCGACTTTATTTGAAAGTGCGGCATTTGTTGCGCGCAAAGCAGCATATACCACCGCGTGCTACAAAACGTTTTAGTCAAACATTTAACGGACGTTCGAAAGCCTGATGACGTCATCAGATTCCCGTAATGGTTAAGAGATAGGGACCACGCTGGTCCCACCCTGCAAGTAAAGGGAAGAAATTTCTTGAACACCATAAAGCTGCGGGGGTTGCGACCAGGATAAATGGTGGTTTCTGAGCCTGGCCGCAAACTTGGCTATCTCAACTCAAAACTAATGTTAAGGTGGGAGGGTCCCTTTAAGTTGATAGTTCTGAAACAGAAAAGCATCCATATTCCATGACATTTTCACAACACCTGCATACCATCAACCATGACCTTAAAAAAAGCTACAAAGCACATGAATGTCGCTAAATAATTTAACTTTAACTAATTAATTCATTACAGATCCCTACCTAACAACCATACGCACCTCTTCTTCAAAAAATCCACACGTTTTGTTTTGAACTTCGGAATGTAAACAAACAACTGGATCAGCTGATTAATGCGCTTCCATATTGCTACCACATTCCTCCAAATTGAAGATAATGAAGGATTTTTTTTTCATTCATTTGTATTGAGGTTGACCGCGACCAATACCGCGACTGAAAAGTCACGCATTGTGTGAATACCATTGTACCGTGTACGTATTAAAAGATAAATAGATATCTTGCCTCAAACTTATTTGCTGTTTCTGCGCTTGATCATATGACGGTAACGTCCCAAAACTACACTATCCTTTCATGACCGGAATCGTCTCAGTTTTCATTTCACCATCACTTCTTGCAGATGAACTTGCTTTAGTACGGTATCGTCGGTTAGCGCATCTTTCCTAGCTAGTCGCCTTCACTAGATCTCTCCGCACTCCCACCGTCACACACTTATCCTCCAATACGGATCGGTATATTGAAGTGTAAAATGTACAGTCGTACTACGAAAGCGGCCGCCGCAATCGGCTCGGCGGCAGTCCTCCGGCCGTCGGCGGGGAGCGCCGCAGCGTCTGTCTGTCTGCGCCGTCCGGCGGGGTCATGGCATGCCTGGGGCGGTCTGCGTCGGTGACGTCACGCGTCTGGTGCCCGGCGCCGCGCGCACAGACACCGCCATGGCACGCAACACTGATTGCACGATTACATCGAGTCTGTATACCAAACTGTACACAAGCACTCCGCTCGCGTGATCGCGCCATTCGCACCGACCGTATAAAAGCAGGTTACTGCGACGACTGCCGAGCCGGGCGCCTTCCGCCCGGCCCTCGAGCTCACAGGGCCTCTAGCTATATTGTCACAAGCTAGCTAGTAATTCACATCAAACGCGTCATACTATCTGCATATATACCTCCGTCATCATCAGCATCAATAATAATAAAACGTAGAAAACTAAAAACATAAATCATTGGGAATACTCCAGTTAGGCTTGGACCGCAGATTCTATCATAAATAATAATCGGAGATGACTGTTTCGTTTTTCGGCCACGCTCCAATCTGTCACCCTGTTCACCGTCGCGCCGCGGCGTCGGCCAGGTCTCTGTACACATCCAAGCCGACACGCAGTCGTACAATGCCTCGCCGTATACACAAACCGCCGTGAGCCGGCGCGGGCGGCCGCTCGGCGCATCTGGGGCCCGCACTGTGGCCGACCCGGCCCGGCCAGCGGCCACACACAAGCTCGGCTCCTCCCCGCGCGTGGGGCGCCCGCACGGTAACACTTTCCATCGTCTTCCTCAGTCTCTTTGGTTTCAGACGCATCCGCCGTGGCCGCGTCCAGTCGCGCGCCGGTCCGCCGTCTCTCTGCCGTCGCCGACGCGGGTTACATGTCCTCCACACGGACTGGCGACACCGCCACCACGCCTGTGGCTGGTCCAGCCCGTCGACCAGCGCCCTCTATCCTTCTCCGCAGCCCGCCCTGTCTCCTCCACAGGTTAGCTCGCGTCGCCGGCCCAATCACTCGCCCTAGTAGTCAGCTGAGCGCGCGACAGTGCCGCGCGTCACTTCACCGCGCGACAGTCCATCGCTCAGTCCACTGCGCGACAGTCTGTGTCGCCCACTGCACCGCGCGACAATGCGACACCAGTCTGTCTGTCGCACGGGTCGTTCGGCCGAGTAGCAGCGTCGCTCTGGCATGTCCCTCAGCCGATTGTCAACACTGCTGTCTCTATCACATGTTGTAATCTCTGGTCACCTCCAATCGTTGGCTCTCACGTATATGTGTGTGATGTGTCTTGTCGAATCTCCAGGGCGCCTGGCAACTACCGTCGATTTAGCTCCATCTTGATGGCTGAAACACGCGCCAAAAGCGGTCAGACAATCACGCTACGACTGACGGCACGGGCACAGACCAGAAATGGCTGACTCGCGTCGGAACCAGCCGCTACCACTACCATCTGATAAGCGAGTATCGGTAGGGCGATGGTAGCCACTTTTCCACGAAACAAAAGCATGCAAGGCAGTCCTGCTGTAGAGCTAGAACATCGGTATTTCATATCCAGCCCTGTGTTGACTCCGGAGAGAACCGAATTCCTTACGAAAACAGCCAGATCTGCTAGAAACTGGACCCGTGGGTTCAGGTACCATAATGCAAGGGACAAAGACAGACGACGTTGTTTCCCATGAGTAAAGAAGCGAAGCAATCGCAAACGCAATCACAATGACAATGATATCTCCAGCACCCTACCATGAATAATATCTGCATATCAGAAGCGACGGAGCGAAACAAGTCGGTAGGAGGGGGTTCTGTGGCGAATATAAGCCTCAAATAACGGTTTTAGAGACGTGGCGTGGCGGTTATCCGCGCTTTCCAGAAAAGGATAGATACAGATCAGTTCTTCAAAAACCTGGGGATATTACAAACTGAACGACTCGCCACCTTGTATGATTAATGACCGACCAATTAACAGAAACGAGAACCAGCTGCCTGCTTATCCCACTTGCGATACAAAAGGCTTACAGGAGTCCCCAAATACCTAGCGTATCACCACATAGAATATTATGTAGCTCCCACTTCCTCAGCTCTCCCCCACCCAAGAAAAAAAAAACGTTCCGTGCACTCACCGTCCAGAATATCATTCTTCATGGCCGTCATTTCGCGTCTCATCTCTTTGAGGATGTCCTGTTTGAGGGCATCCAGGTCAGCCGCGTTTGCGCCTCCGGCCGCCGCCGGCTGGTCGGCCGGGGACAGGCCGTTGAGGCGACTCTCGTCGTGCGAGCCGAGCCTCTTGCGGGCGGGCCGGGGGCTCTCGGCGCCACCGCCGTTGGTGGGCCGCACCACCGAGCCGCCACTGGTCGAGTGACTACGCTCCCAGCGCGGCGGGCCGCCCTCCTCCTGCGGGCAGATACGGGTGTCAGATCGGCCCTAACTCTTCAGGAGAAAGCTGGGTGGAGGTGCGTTATCCGAGCGATCAGCAAACTGTGAGTGGTTGGACAGAAGGAAATTCATCCTCGAGAAGTAACCATTGTTGACATTAACAGCGCACCTACCGGGTTAATAAATATAATTCTTGTCACATAAATTTGCTATTACATAGACGAATGACTATGAAAAGTAATATGAGTCATCCCTCACATTCCTTTCCTTCAGTTATGCTTTGTTATCTCACCTGTCCGCCAGCCGTGTCCTCGGAGGGCGCCGCCGTCATCTTCGCCTTCCTGCGCGCCAGCGTGGCCGCCATCTCGTCCATCATGGACATCACCGGGCCGCCCGCGGCACGCCCGATAGTGCCGTACGTGCTGCTACCCGACGACGAGCACGAGGATGTGTCTGAGTTGTTCACCTGGGGGAGCGGAGAGGAGCACGATCAGTTAGAAGTTCGATAAGTGCAGTGGTGCAGCGAGGTAAGCTTAGTATCACAAACAGCAATGTCTTTCGTTATTGTCCGAGTGCAGGGTAATAGAACGCAGCAGACAGCGATACAGACGCGAATGGCGCCCAGTGGCCTACATTGCTGACATTCCGTTTCCCTTTTTAGTCGTACTTTCCTCACGAAAACCCACGAACATGACATGTTTTGCCACCTGGGTGCACCTACAGACTGAGTGTCGCCGGCGGCGGTGGGAAACTCACCACTGTTTTCTTCAGCTTGGTGTTCTGTATGGCGGCGGCGAGTCCGCCCAGCCCTCCCAGGCCACTGGGCGGCGGCTCCGAGGAGCTCACCGGCCGCTGAGGGCTGGCCGCGGGCTCCGGAGGATGCGCCGCCTGGAAGGCTGGCGGGGGCGGCGGCGGCGGCGGGGGCGGTGGAGGTGGCGGCGGCGGCGGCGCTCCGCCCGCGGGCGGTGGCGGCGGTGGCGGGGGCGGCGCCGGCGGAGCAGCCGACAGCGGCTGGCTGGCGGGCTGGGGTGCCGACGAGGTGCGGTGGTGGCCCGGTGGGGAGGCGGCGTGCTGCGGCACGGGCGGCGCCGCCGGCGGCTGCGGCGGCGCCTGGGGCGGCAGCTGCGGCTGCGGCGGCGCCTGCTGCTGGGGCGGCGGCTGGTACTGCGGCTGCTGATACTGCGGCTGCTGGTACTGCTGGTACTGCTGCGGCGGCGGCTGCTGCTGCTGCTCCGAATGTCGCCGCTCCAGCTGAATGTGCGACGGCGGCGGCTCCTGGGCGCGCGGCCGCGACAGGCTGCGGTAGGCGGCTGCCGGGTCCTGCTGGCCGGCCTCCTGGTACAGGGCCGGACTGCTGGACGGCTTGTGCGGCAGCGTGTGCGCGTGGCCGTACGTGGGCTGCTGCGAGCGGGCCGTCATCTGGGCGCTCTCAGTCAGGTTCTGCCGACACAGACAGACACACAGACGGGAGCGTGAAACACGGGCGGCCTCGGTCACGCGGCGCGAGGCTCCAGGAATGCGGAACAAAGTAAACTCATTCATCTGCACGGGCGTCTCCATGCACGCTTTACACTGACAGCCACACAACCACGGTTAACTTGGGAACACAGGCACGAGAAACAATAGTGACCATGTGACATGATATCAGCATTAGTCGACTATGATAGAAGTTCGGCCTATTTCATCTGCCGAGCATCTGCAAGAAATGCAAAGAACTACACCAACGCAAAAACCGGCCGAGACCAAAGCCTTCGTCATGGCAAACCCATTTGGGTCAAACTGCGAACAATGTGCCGCTACCATACAAACAAAGCCGCAATAACCTCTGCGATAGGGCACTTCGCTTTTTGTCCCGCCAGCTTCCAATTGAACCGTCACAGGAATTTACGACCCAATATCAGCTGGAGATATGAACCTACCGCGTACGCAGTGCGCACACCATACGACCAAAGCAAAGCAGCGAGTCTGATGAAAATGAAAGTTGACGAATAATGTGCTTTTTTCTTACGCGTTGTGATGAAGTGTTGAAGATATTGCTTATACATGTAACATGTCTTATGCATAATAAATTATTTCAACAGCCTAGCAAGTCCTTGTTAGACGCCCGATAAACGCCAATTGAACTGGTCTCCGGGAGGCTTCATCGAAAACTTTCGTTCGAAAGGTTTTCAAAAGAGGATTGAAAAAGTCTTCAAGACCAATTTTGTCTGGTGTGATATATCGACTGAGCATTATCTCACAACTCCAATAAAAAAGGAGCACCAACAGCCAACAAATACCTATCGGCCGACGTAATTAGCATCCACCGTTCATTCACGGAGTGCAGACATGGGCGATTTTCCCGATAATCCCTCCGACCGGTTCCTAGCCTTCCGCCAAGGCCGTCGGTCCTGCCGGCCGATAGCCCAAGTATGGAGAGCGGCGCCGTGACTCAGGGGCGGCCCGCCAGAGAGCGTGCACGGGCGTCCGGCCAGGGCAACATTCGAGAACATACCACCGGCGAGGGTACAAGGGGAGCTACTATGGCACTGTAGGCCGGCAGCCTGAAAAAGCGCTAGAAATTCCCCCAAACTGACTGTCCGCAATATGAACAAAATAGGTATCATTTAATCCCAAATTGATCGAAGAATACGATTCCGATGCTAGTTTTGCCCTAAGGTCAAAATTGAGGTCGTCAGTTGTCACCAAACACAAGACAATTTAGACTCTCTATAGGCCACCACATTTACCGATTTTAATGATGAACTTTAGTGGTAATTTATTAGTTGACCAATCGTCGTTTTGAACGAAATTTCCTGTCAGACTAGTTCAGGGCACTGTTGTTCACTGTGCCAACATCATTCTGACATATTGCATCGCTTTTCTGCAAGATAAGCTAGCTGTTTGCAAGCAGCTGCAAGACGTAATTTAAAATCATATCCAATTTTTTAATTAGACTTTTATAAAAACGTTATTTCGAGCGGCTAAAAATGAACATTTCATACTAGCCTCTGATTGCTCATCTTTTGTTCCATATAGGTGCTTTGCTGCTTTTCCCTGCTACTTTTCGAGATATGCGCCAGTAAACCACATGATGTAGGGGCAATTGTCACCTCGCCGCTCTACTGAAGGCCCGGCGCTCTTTAACCCTATTCCTGGCGGGGGGGGGGCCTCAGGAGCCCCCCCTGAGGTTTTTTGGTTATATCTCCCAAACGCGTTGAGCTAGGAAGCTCAAATTTTCTGACTTTTCCTAAAAGGCTTCTACGCAACATGTCTGAAAATTTTGAGTTGATCTGACCTCAGGTCAGGTCACCAGAGGCGGTTTGGTGACGCTACCTCAGAAAAGTTTGCAATCACGCCAGAGCTAGAGTTTTTGACCGATCAATTTCTTCTCTTCAGGGTTTAGTTAGGGTACCAGTATGTGCAATTTGTATATCTCGGAATTTTGATATCGGTGACCTAAGGTCAGGTCAATTTCGCGACCTCCCCATTATAAGTCAATGGGGGAAAAATCAACTCCCTGTTTTTACCACTAAAACGGGTCGGAATGGCCCCATATACCATACATGACTTCATATACGATCAACCTTCACTACCTTGAGGTCTGTTTTGCTGTTGGGCAGCTGTGAGGTCATGTGACGTCATCAAAGGTCACCAAAGGTTTTTGGCCAATAACTCCGTACAGGAACAAGATACAGACGCGTGGATGGTCTCATTGTGTTCAGCTCGTCAAGACGCATCGAATGATATACATGATGACCTCGAGGTCACGTGACCTGAGGTCAACTTTTGACCTTGACCTTTCGAGGTCAACATATATATCATTCGATGCGGATTGACGAGAGGATCACGATGATGCCCTTAGTTTGTTCCTATCTTGACTAATTCGAAAGTTATTCGAGAAAAACTCTCTCCATATCTAGTGCCGCCATTTTGACTTTTTCGACCCCTGTGACGTCATCTTTGACCTGACCTGAAAATGACCTTAGTAAAAATTGTAGATCTTGGCCGTGCGTATCCGATGCCGTTTACCGCTTGTCGCTATCTTGCTTCGTTCTCGAGATCTCAGGGGGGGGGGCCGAATCGGCCCCCCCCCCCCGCCAGTTTCTTGTCCCGGCATTTACGGTAGCTGTGGCATTCCCGTGTTTTCCTTTACATTTGCGGAGTGCGCCCATGACCACTAGCAATATCACATTCCTAAGATTGTGCTTGACAAAATACTATAAAAGAAAAACTAGCGATATTCCCGAGCTGCCACAGTCACGACACGTGCTTATCAGTATCATTTCCGGCACCGCTCCATACACTATCCCCACCGGCCACTACTCACATCTATGGCTCTGAGCATCGTGTTGGCGAAACTGTTGGCATCGTCCACGGAGGAGAAGCTGAGCCCGTAGACCCGCTTGTTGTCACGCCACTGGTGGAACGTGGGCGTAGCCTGGTTGTACTTGAGCCCCTTCAGGATGGCACAGTTGATGACCACCTGCGGAAGGAAGAAAGCGGTGATAACGAGATGACGTATCGACTTATGTGGAAGTGCGCACAGCTGAGTGGGGCAGATTGCGACGTAAATGTGTTATTTGAAGAGGTGAGGCGTGATACAACAACATGACGTACAATCAGGGTTCGTAGAAATAGAGATATGGCATAGTATCAGAATGGACGTAGCACGTGTAATTAATTACGTTCCGTCTAAATGAGATAGGTCATGACAAGGTGAGTCTAATGGCTCTCGGCACGCAACGACGCATTGATGCATTATAGCGTCATTGCAGCTATATTAATACCACACAGGATCCATAGCACATAACAAACCAGTAGTGTCCCACGATACAGCTCACTGTCCCGGCACACTGGCACGTCACAATAATAGCACAAAATGTACTGCCTATGAAATAATCCATAAGCACCGTCATAGACAACATAGACCGTAATTTCGGCATATATACGAAGAACATTATGGCAATAAGATAACACATCTCCAACAATTTGATGGCACACGGCACACCACCGCCGCACAATACGACACAACGTCACAGCACAGTACGACACTGACCAGCTGAGGGCCTGTCATCGCACAGTTGTCGCGGTAGGTCCGGCGGCAGGTCTCACATGAAACCAAAGAAAACACTGCACGGCTTGTCACAACAGTGAGCGTCACCAGCAAACACAACACGACCCGGCAAAAGACAACAGAACACACGAAGAGACAGAGTGGAATTGCTACCATGCTTAACCCGCGCGGGGCTGGGGGGGGGGTAAATTTTACCCCCCCCCCCCCTCGCGAATTTTTGCGATATCTCAAAAACGGCGGCGCGCAGCGCCGCCAAACTTTCAGTACCTTTTCTTACATCAATTTGACACGTTCTCTGAAAATTTGAGCGAAATCCGTCGGAAAATTTTTGAGAAATTGACGTTTTAGTGACGTCATGTTCGTCATTTTCGCCTCAAAAACGGCAAAAGTTCAAACGCCGCTAACATCCTCATTTTTAAAGGAATCAAGACGTAACAAAAAAGGTTATACGTAATTTTACTTTGTCTATCAAATGGCTATCTCGGTTTTTTGAAAATTTTGGATTTTGGCCTAAATTTTTTTTCAAAAAACTGACTTTTTTGGGAAAATCATTATAAAATCCAAAATGTTGAGTCTATCGAAAAAACCGGAATATATGTCAGAGAAGTGGTCTATGTGCAACTACATACCAAATTTTAGAAGAATCGGTTCAAAAATGTGGGAGTTATTCAAAGTTTTATGACGTCACGACACACAATTTTTTTTTGGAAAAATGACTTTTTTGGAACTTCTAGACCTCGTACGGAAACAAAAATAGCACCATTCGATTCGCCGTGAAAAACTGCATCAGATAGACACCTTTTTAGGCCTTAACAACCAACTTCAAAATTTGACCTCACTTGACCTGACCTTGACCTGACCTCGACCTGAAATTCATCCAGAGGTGGTCCATATCACTTATTGAGTGTGCCTATTGAATTCTATGAGTAAAATGACCCATAAAACATGTGTCGCACATGCCCTTTTCTATATTTTGTTTTTTGGTGACCTGACCTGACCTGACCTGACCCTGACCTTGACCTCTGAATGATATTGTATGCAACGAATATTGTCTTGGTAGCCTAAGAACACGTTTTGGGCGATCAGTCTCAGTCCATGACTCCATTCTTCGGCAACTACGGTGCAAGGCCGATACTGTAGAAACTTGCAATTTGTACCCTTGACCTGACCTGAAACTTTAATTTTGACCTCAAACTTTAAATTAAGTACATGTTTTTAGTAGTTCGTGATGAGAGCTTTCGATTGGCGTTTGAATTTTCCAAATCGGACCGTTAGTTCGGGAGATAACAGGGGGGGGGGGTAAAATTTACCCCCCCCCCCCAGCCCCGCGCGTTCGGCTGGAGACCCCAGCCCCGCGCGGGTTAAGACTCACCCCGCAGACCGGCGAACGATCAGACAGCCTAAAACCGGGATTGATTTGACCGAGAAAAACACACCCCGGATGATCGCCGCACGCGGGGCACCGGACCTTCGATCCAGCCTAGCCATCTCACCGGCCCGCCCAGACCCGACCCTCCCTAGCCAGCCATTCGTTCCACACACGGAAAGCAAATAAACTCAGTGAGATATTGGGAAGTCATAAACCTCTCAGGCGGCCCGACCAGACAGCGTCGGGCTCGTTCCATTATGTACAAGCTCTCCGGGGATCCGTCTAAGCTGGTGAGGAATGAAACATAACATGACGTAACTGCTCTTTCATGAGTCTGTCTTTACCTTGACCGTGACATTTCGCCGGTACATTGATCTCCTGGCTCTTCCCTCACCCGCTGGTTCCAGTGCCTCGTGTATCGACCAGTCGCCCCCCCCCCATCCCTGCCTCCCTCTCGTCTTGGTTTATCTGCCTCTACCCTCACGTCAACGTCATACCCCCTACCCATCACCCCCGTAACAAAAGTGTCGAATCTATGGCTCCCTGTTTTACCTCGTTTCGTTCCATCCATAACATAGGTAGCGACCCCCTTTCCAAGACCCACTCGTAATCTTCATTTCAAACTAGTGCAGCCCATCGCCTCTCCGTCTCTGAATTACAATAGTATTGAACCTTCATAGAGCTATCCACGATTGACGAGATCTCATTTCTCAATATCAATTATTGGATAAAAAGCAGATAGCACTGCCATTCATCCACACTCATACCAGCCAGAAAACATTCCCCACAAACCCGTGCTCTCCCTCCCAGGGGTCCACCCCGCACCATCCACCAGCTCACCTCCTGATCCTGCAGTTTGCGGCCCACCACGCGGTACGTGTTGTTGACCACGTGGTGGTAGATGTGCACCTTAGCAAAGCCGTTGGTCGTGCCCGCCGGCACCCACTTCTTGTTGACGTCATCGTACACCATCACGTTCGCCCGACCCGACGTCAGGCTCAACTCGTTGCTGAAACGGTGACGTCACAACGGCGTCAGAGTTTGTGATGTTACGCCGTCAGATTTGTAAAGCTAGATTACTCATGTTACACCGGAAGATGTCATATCGTTGCATTGAAACGAGATGTGACGTTATATTGTTACATTGTAATCGTCAGAGATTCAGTGATATCACATCCCCATTCAATGGAACAATGGCGACATGGAGATAGATGAAAAGTGGTTAAAAAAAAACAACAAGAAAATGACGCTGATCTGGTGGAGGTATCATGTTCATTGATATAGCGATGGAGTACGGGCCGCATTATCAACATAGTATGGTACGCAGAGTGGGAATGGCAGTATGGTGATTGGTGGGTACTGGGTATGTGATGGTATGTGACAGCTCTGTGTGGCAATGGGTCAGACGGCGTGGGCCCAGATCGGGCTGCGGCCGAGGAGGCCGCGTTTCGGGGCCGTGTCAGCGAAAGCACGCACATAAACAGAGCGGCCCTCCAAACAAACGGAGCCGAGCTCGCGTGACCCGGCTACCCGTCGCAAGGTACAGGAAGTCACCGAAACTGTTGGTTCAGTCTGGGCACCTTGAATGCGCTCTCCTGGGACGATATGATCATGATCACTGCAATGACATTGTCTAGAGCCGATAGCCATGTGCGTTGACTTAGCAATAAAAAGAAGACATAGTAATGACATATGGAAACAGCCTAGCTAAGGCACATTCTGTTGTAGCTAAGTGATCGTTTCTATGTCATGCACCTTGCGCTCGGCACTGGCGGGGAAATAGCCTTCCGCGGCTAACGGGAAAACAATACTTTCCTGTCCGCACACCGCCGCATTACGTCACGACAATAAACAAGGCCTGTGTCCAGCTGGGACTGAAAGGAAGCCAGCAGTTTACCCTACCAATAGCTCGGCTCAGTCAAGAACTACGATCGCAAAAGATGCCCACTATATTCTCCGAATGAAATCAATGACAAAACACATCACAATGCTCACATAGCAATGGTAAATGATAAATTGGAGGTATCGTCAGAATCCAAATTCAAACACTAAACAAAAATATATTAAAAAGTAATGCAGTTCGTTGGTCGACCCTGTTAGGGATTCAGTTTGGATTTCAGGAGCACCTGGGTTGGATACCCTATGCCGCCTGTCCCCAACCAGCCCTCAGGAAGAATAGGAACTACGCTCTCAGCTGCCCTGTAGCCTAGGGGCAGAAGAGGAACAAGCACTCTCCTGTAACTGGGCACAACTGACCTGTTGGAGGGATAGACAAAAAGCAGTAGGTACTCAAACCAAACTCAAATTCAAACGAGAGAAGTCAGAAGCATCACAGTTCCTAAAAAGACAGCACACAAACCAAAACCAATGAGAAAGTCTTGCATACATTTTATGAACTATTGCCAGGAATACATGAACCAGCCTTCTCGTTCAAGCTCAAGCCTACATAAGAAGTTGCCAGTAATTAAAATGACCATCCCACCTTGAAATCATTAAGTGGTGATAGACAAGTGCTGCTCATGCTCAGGGATCTAAGTAGGTACTCATTCACTCACTGTGATGTTAAGTCGTACCTACCAAAAATATATTATTAAGGCATAGGTAAATTCTACAATTTTGGATTTTTTGCAAACTTGAAACTATAAATCAAACGCTTTCTCCTGCAAGGCACAGAAACATAGCAGTGCCATGCTTGCCCCTTTTCATCAAAACAAAGCCCTGCACATTTGATAAGGATTAACCACACTTAGAAGAGTTGCCTGGAAAACATGGAAAAGCCATAAAAAATATTGGTCTTAGCCTAACAGCTAACACCTGCAGAGTAGCCTTATTAGAAATCTCCCTTAGGGTTCTACCTTACCAGAAGAATCTGCCAAGGGTGCCTTAATTCTACAGTGGGCATGTCCCTGCCGCTTCTCTAAAATTATATAAGAAGAGCAATGAGAAGAGCTGTTTTGGGGATGCCACAGAACAATTTCTGAAAGGAAATCAGTAGTTTGTGTGCTACAGACTACAGAGCATAGTATTAATGGTGCACCAAAGCTGATTTTGAGACAAGTTGTTCATATAAACAAAAACATTGTAAAAATCTTAACCCTTGATGTAAAAAACATACTCAGCCTTCTCAACCCCCTAATAACACTTCATACTCCCATCAAGTGTCATGCACATGATTCATATTTGTATGATGTGCATTGTGCACCAATATCAATTTATGCCTTCTTTAGCCTCCTTTGCAAAACCAACTCATTTGGGATGAGGGAGAACAGTGGTGGCAAAAGGTTAATGAAAAATTGAGATGGGCTTAGGCCTTGGCAGAGCATGGTGAAGCAGTGAGAATGATTTTTTTCTAACAGCACAGGTCTGATGGGCAGGAGGTTTTAAAATGTGACAAGAAAAGACCCTTTCCCTTGTTTTTAATGATGGACAAATGACTGTTAGTTGATATAGCAGTACACACTGGGTCTGCTCCCAAGGTAAAAAAAAAAAAAAAAATGAGGAAGTTGAATGAGCTTTAAGGAGAACCATTTTATAGCAACCATGGCAACAGTTCGGTGAAATCCTCCATTTGCACCCTAGGCTTAAAAATGATTAGAAACCAGGCCATACTGTCAAAAAACATAAATTAACCTAGAAAATTGTTTACACTATCATTTACACCTAAAAAAGCAGGTACACTAAAAGCAGAAATTGCAAAACCTAATCTAACCTAACCTAAACTTACCAAACATAACCTCACCTTGCCTGAATCAATGGGTGGTTATGTGTAGCTTATCAATGTTTTGTGGAAAAGTATCAAAGTATTGATATGTGATCTCACTTTTTAAGCTTAGCACGATATGTCCTTTCTTTTTAGGTTTTTATTTTGTCAACTTGTCCAGTTTTTAGAGGGTGCAAAGACAGGAAAGATGTGAATCAAGATGAGCTTGGAGGAGCTACGAGGAGCAATGGGAACAATATTTTGTAACAAGAGGTTAGATGAGCTCAGAGTAGCTTGACTGTATAAATGCAGCAAAGAACTTTTGTTAATTGTTGCTCTTAATCGTCACTGATCATAAAGCAATACTCTTCAAATCGTTTTCAAGTAAAAATTAGACACATTAATTACCCTACGTTTCGCTGTATTCACTTTCTCAAGGACGAATAACATTAAAAAATATAACAATAATGCTTATCTGATTATTTTCACATTCTGAATAAAATCTACTCTACAGATTAACACGCTTTCACACATTCAAAGGCATTCCGAGGCCCCTACTAGCAATGCTTCCAGGTCTCCAGTTCCACACACCATTACAATTTACAAAGATTGGGAAAACAAGGATGGTAAATACAATGCCATGATGTAGTTCACACATATCATGCTAATCAAATTTTTGAAAAATCAACCTTGAAGCAAATCTTTTTCTTCAAAGTTAGGTAGGTACCAGGTTCTTTGTATATTGGAATTCATAATCGTGAATAACAATGAACTTTTGGGACAAGAGTATGTCTGACATATCTGTATCGATGTTTGAAATACATCCAGCAAAAAAAAATTAGTTACAAGCTGAATAATTCGCTAAATAATACGACAAAGACAATGCGGCAAAACCGGACAACGCCCAGAGACAAGCAAAATCGAAACCAAGAACTGCCCTTACCTCATGGTTGCGTTTGTCTAAAATCACAGTCAACACTGAAAATAACAATTTGTCTATCCAGCCAACATTTTCATTACTACTTCAACAATATCTTAAGCCATGATTCACTGGATTATTCACACCACTTCCCACGAAATCCGCGATCAACTCTGTCTCTGAGCGCCGGGGTCATGCCAAGGAAGTATCAATTGAGATTCAGTCACGTTTCATTGTTGGAAAATGACGTCATGAAATTGGTAAATGGCAGGTGAGATAAAATGACTGGGAAATATAAAATATAGGTAACTACAGACAAAACTTGCAAAATAAGCCCGTAAATTTTCAAAAATCAATATTTTCGACCTTCTGATATCTTCTCGAATGATAACTTGGCGAAAGTTTTTTTGTTTCATGACGTAACATTGGCTGATAAAAGTTAAAGCAAATGACATATTTCTGAAGGCTTGAGATGAGATAAGGGGGCTTCCAAACAGAGTTATAGTGTGTCCATATGATGCTTTTTTGGCCCCTAGAATTAATAGTAAAATAATTTTGCGAAACATAGGGCTGTTCACGACGTCGGTTTATGTGGTTTACATAAACTGCCCTCGGGGCACGTTCCCGGCTGTGACGTCACATGGTGTTTACGTTTACGAAACACAAGTGTTTACTTAAACAGCGACAACTAATAAGCAGTTGCGATGATACTGTAAAAGGTGCAAAGAAAAGATAATTTGATGGAAATATGTCCCATATCATGACATATTGCAAGAATAAGGACAGTTTTCATCACAAAATACCCACGACGCTAGACGCTGGTTAGCCGAGAACTTTGCTCAAAATAGGTCTTAATTATAGTAATATATAAACTAGTAATAAAATAATAAAACCTACCACTCCAGTCCTCTGCGACCCGTGCAGGGTTATTTTGAAACTCATTTACCCACCCATCAGCCCCTGAACTGTCCGAATTCAAAGTTCCTAACTCACAACTCGCCTCACGAGTTTGCCGCACATCGCCATCATTGTCACATAAACGCGTTTACGCGCCATGTTGATGCTCTGAGGCATCAACCGCATAAACGGTTTACGGCGGAGGTCTGACGTCATTGACGGGATGTGACGTCAGGATCAGGTCGACGCTGATTGGTCCTTCAAAAAATAAACATGTTTACGGTTTATTAAACTGGATAAACCGACGTCGTGAACAGCCCTATTCCGCGCGGGGCTGGGGTCTCCAGCCGAACGCGCGGGGCTGGGGGGCGGGGGGTAAATTTTACCCCCCTGTTATCTCCCGAACTAATGGTCCGATTTGGAAAATTCAAACGCCAATCGAAAGATCTCATCACGAACAACTAAAAACATGTACCTACTTAAGTTTAAGTTTGAGGTCAAGGTCAAGGTCAGGTCAAGGGTACAAATTGCAAGTTCCTACAGTATCGGCCTTGCACCGTAGTTGCCGAAGAATGGAGTCATGGACTGAGACTGATCGCCCAAAACGTGTTCTTAGGCTACCAAGACAATATTCGTTGCATACAATATCATTCAGAGGTCAAGGTCAAGGTCAGTTCAGGTCAGGTCAGGTCACCAAAAACAAAATATAGAAAAGGGCATGTGCGACACATGTTTTATGGGTCATTTTACTCATAGAATTCAATAGGCACACTCAATAAGTGATATGGACCACCTCTGGATGAATTTCAGGTCGAGGTCAGGTCAAGGTCAGGTCAAGTGAGGTCAAATTTTGAAGTTGGTTGTTAAGGTCTAAAAAGGTGTCTATCTGATGCAGTTTTTCACGGCGAATCGAATGGTGCTATTTTTGTTTCCGTACGAGGTCTAGAACTTCCAAAAAAGTCAATTTTCAAAATTTTGTGTGTCGTGACCTCATACAATTACCCCCACATTTTTGAACCGATTCTTCTAAAACTTGGTATGTAGGTGCACATAGACCACTTCTCTGACATATATTCCGGTTTTTGCGATACACTGAAAATTTTGGATTTTATAGTTATTTTCCCCAAAAAGTCAGTATTTTGAAAAAAATTGGGTCAAAATCCAAAATTTTCAAAAACGGAGATAGCCATTTGATAGACAAAGTAGAATTACGTATAACCTTTTTTGTTACGTCTTGATTCCTTTAAAAATGAAGATGTTAGCGGCGTTTGAACTTTTGCCGTTTTTGAGGCGAAAATAGCAAACATGACGTCACTAAAACGTCAATTTCTTTAAAAAAAATCCGACGGATTTCGCTCAAATTTTCAGGGAATGTGTCAAATTAATGTAAGAAAAGGTAATAAAAGTTTGGCGGCGCTGCGCGCCGCCGTTTTTGAGATATTGCAAAAATTCGCGAGGGGGGTAAAATTTACCCCCCAGCCTCGCGCGGGATATCATTCCTGTGCTGATTTTTACAGCTATCGCCTAAAATAATATGAGTCACCCACGGTCTCATTTGCTCAAATAAGGCCAGGGCTTCGCCAGTCACCAGGGGGGGGGGGGGGCGCGACTCCTAGCCCTCGCTCGTAGCGAGTGTGCGATTACGACCGACAATGGATGCCTTCTTCGGGGTATTGAATGTTAAGCAGGGCATCCAGACCACAAGCGGTGTGGCATCCAGCTAGCGAAACCCATAGGAGGGTTGCACCATACTGACCCGGAGCCGGAGAACTCGGGCAGACCGGAAACCCGGAGTCGGTGTCGGAGTGATATCAACGCTACCATAATTCCGAAACACTGCCGAGAAACGTAACGCTGCTCCCAAGTCCCAATATCGGGCTCTAACTATAGGTAGGTATGTTACTATACTATACAGCTACACTATACTATACAGTTACTATATGCGGACAGCCAACAATAACATCGATAACATCCAAGGGCCGAAGTCTTCTGCTCGAAGAGCCAGCATTGCTAAACGACGTGCGATGTAACTATGCCTTATAACGGCCGTGGAAAGGTGTGTCCTTGGGCAAAAATATTTGCCTTTGGAGTGTCATGAACGCAATCAGCAATACACTACCATAGCGAACAACATGCTCTGTCTGAAACTGTGCCCTGCTATGAAAGAATAGTGATTAGTGAATAGCTTTATTGCAATTCAAAAATTAACGTGCGGTGCGAGGAAATAGGTAAAACATGCTCATAATAACAGAACCCTCATTTCGAGGCTAAATTGACACGCATATTGCATAGTGCATAGAACTATTTCTTATCATCACGCCAATGTCGATGTCGATTAAACGTTGTAAATTTATTACCTCGTTGTTCGTTATAAAGCCTTGCTGGTACGGATGTTAGCACCAACCACCACCGACAGCATGCATGACACCATGTTAGTCCGTACGGCCCGGGTGCCGGTGAGGTAGTGGGTCCCAGTGTTGCCTGCAGTCTTCGATGGCCCGTAAAAAGGTACCAAAGGGCCGTATAAGGATCTACGATCCATCATTTATGACTGGTTAAAGGAAACGTTAACCCTCGCCCGCACATGGGGGGGGGGGGTGGTTGCCACCCTCCCAGGCAGTCTTTCTGCTCTGCACTCAACATTTTTAGAGCTAGAAGGCGGATTTTTCGTATAGCTGCTCGTCTATCCTTTCTTGATGTCCACTGAAAATTTCAAGTTTCTGTAATTTTTGGTTTCGGAGATATGACCTTGTTTTTCAGGTCATGTCATGACCCAAATGGCCAATTCTCAACATCTTGCGTTTGCCATGGGCCTTGTGAGCTTTTGACACCCTGATTTCGGCCTTTTATGCCAGTCTTACCTCCCACCTATCATGGAACATGTTGTTCGACGATGTACAGGGGTCAAGGTCAGGGTCAAGGTCAACCTAGGTCATCTAAGATAATTGCGTTTTAGGAAAGCTTAACTTACTTTTTGTGAAGTTTTTTTTTACTGCATTTTTGGTAAAAGCTTCTCAGATCATGATTTCATGTGATATGGACCCAAAAACAGTCGGTGCACACATCAGTATACACACAGACACACACAGACATACAAACACATATAATTGACCTTGACCTAACTTGACCTGAAATGACCTCAGCAGCAAAATTCTGGTCGGATAGTGTGACAAAGAGGTTCTAGCTGGCTTGGCACCAGAAAACAGCATCGTCATCGGTATTTGATAAGCAGCGCACTTGATATCCAACGGTGACCCAAAACAGCAACATTTTTTAGTTTGACCTGACCTGGAAGGTCAATGACTGACCTGAGAAGGTAAAACTGGGTATCATTGGATTCGTCTCTTCCCAAAAAATCTTTTTGGACTTTACTGCTAAGCTCTATCTCCAACAGGAACGAAATGGCGCGGGGGGGGGGTGGCAACCCCCCCCCCATGTGCGTTCTAGGATGGGAAAATGGCATGTGCGGGCGAGGGTTAACGAATAAATTTGTGTTGATTTAACTAAGGCAATAAGGTAACTCGTTAATTAAAGCAGTGTGTACCTAGCCTGCTGCAATATTAAGCATTCATGTAAATCGAGCGCTAAATAGTACCTAAATGGACCTAGTCATTTTCAGTAGGGCGCAGGGTGACATATGCATGAAAGTAAGCTAACATTGATAGGGGAAACGTCGATATGCCGTTGTAGTCAGGGGCCCGGGCTTTCTCCGACATGCTCTCGGCGTTGTCCCTCTGTTAGCTTATCCGTCCGTCCACATCTTGCTGTGTCCAGCTATCATTTGGGAGCGTCGTCCACAAAATGTGACCTCTAATGATTTAGATTGTCGGCTGAAACTAAAAAACCTACCTAAATAAATATGTGACTTTGATATAAAGTAGCAATATGTTGAATACAGATAGGCTTGCCGTTGCGGTACAGTTTTTAAAAGGAGCTATGTAAACGCCGAAAGGCCTCATTTACGCCATGCGTGGCGCCTGCTGTCCGTTTGCTGCTCAACTAAATGTTTTCTTTTCCAGCAGTGCTGTCGTCCGTGACAAGGGTGTGGCGCGATGACGTGGTGATGGGCTGATGACGTCCTGGTGTTGGCGTCATCCACACGTCATCGGGTGTCGGGTGACGAAACATTACTGAGGCGAGCCGCTGGGAATGCGGCTCCGGCGTCCCCGACCAGAGAAACGGCGACATTTGTCATGACTTGTTTTCTGGTATGTTGAGCCGTGAGAGTTTTCTCAAAAGCAGGTTGATACCGATATGTGATTGTAATCGCGTGTTGATAAGTAATA